CAAGGGTGCATGGGACAAGCTTGTATTTTCACATTTTGTCATGTAGGATGACGCCTATAAAGAGTAAGAATATTTGAACGCATTTTCATGAATCGCGATGTGTTCGAATGGCAACATACTAGCGAGCGCTCTTCCATATGACCTCCTCGTGTGTTTGACGGCGGGCCGCTGTCAGTACTGCTTAATACTTTGTTATGAGAGCTGGACCACTTCCACATGTGTCGAGAAGAAAACCCTTGACACCAGGTCGTCACCGTTGAAGATCAGCGTGACAGCCTCTCCCACCTCTTGACTTGCACTCACGCTTCTTGATACACATCTTATTCCTCCTCCTCCTCCTCCTGACGTAAATAACAACACTTAATTATGGATGAGAACTCCAGTGTGACCGCTGTTGACAGCTGTTGACAGCTGTTGACAGCTTCCTGAGGGGCTCACAGTCTCGGGTCTAGAGTTTACACTGTCGTCTCTTATTGAATATATATATATATAGTGTGTGTGTGTATAGTGTGTCTAACCTACGCTTAAAAAGCAATGTATCAATCCCGTCATTTAATGCCATCCGGTAATTTCTTCCATACATCGCCAATAATCCTGTTTCCTAACCAGCATTTACCCAAGTCTTTCCTGTAGCTAAACTATCTCTTCAACATTACCAGAGGTTCGGTAGTACTCTCAGGTGGAGGAAGCAATGCTCCGTCGGGTACTGAGAGGGACCAGAGTCATTGTGGTGCATATATGTGTATGTATATATAGCGCGTGTGTGTGTGTGTGTGTGTGCTCTGGGGAGGAAGTCACTGGCAGCCTGCACCTCGTACTGCCAGCATTGTGGTACTGTCCGACCGTCGGTGTTGGGGGGATATGTTCTCCTGGGCTCCGGTACGTTCAGACCTTCTTCATTCGTGTGCGCTGTATCTGTCTCTCTCGTGTGGTCTAAGTGCGTCACTCCTGTGTACTGTGTCCTTCGTGTGCTCAGTGTGTGTCATTCGTGTGTGCTGTATCACTCGTGTGCTCTAAGTGTGTCACTCGTATTCACTGTCACTCGCGTGTTGTGTGTCGTAGTTGATCGTATTCAGAGATTAAAAAAAAATGGAGTTTAGAAAGGCAAAGTAGTGAAGTATTCGAAGAATGTGAGGAAGACGACCCTGGTAGCCTGGTGATGTGTATGTCTGGTCGTCCAGTGGCTCGGTCTGGTGTTGGACTTGAGGCCTATTGACCTCTAGAGGGTTATTAGACCTTACACTTGCTTACTGACCTACCAGCAAGATTTCTTGAGTCTTAAACATAGTCCACTCTCGGTGTAGATACACCGAGAGCGCAGGGTACACCTTTCAGTGTATCACCAAATGGTTTGGTTTAGTATTGGGCTTAAGCCCCTATCAATCGCTGAGGGCTATTAAGGCCACCAGAATAGTTTATTGACCAGTCATTAGGTATACTTTAGTACTCAATATAAACCAAGACAAACGTAAACTCACAGTATACATACACCGGGAGGCGGGGAACACCTTGCCAAATTCCAGACATTTATATAGCTCGAGACTCCTTGTCTTCCACGTGTACTTTACAAACACCAAAACTGTGTTAGTTTGAGAATTATGTTGCCCTCTGTATCTACATATTTCCTGCTTATATTGATGTTTAATCAACTTACAATTGTTAACAAGTTATTCGTAAATAAACATGAAATTCTCATAGCACTTTTAGTATATGGATAACGTGTAAATCTTGTTTTAAATGAAAATGTACAAAAACTAAGCCATTTGGAGGACTCCCTCCTGCAACCTGTCAGCAAATTCTTTCTTGTCTGATCCATGTGCTCTGGACGAGTCACATTTTGTTAATACGATTCATCCGATGTATATAAATTCAACTCATGCACCTAAAATTATAGTACTTATAGAAACTATTTGGCCCAGCATATCAGTATGTGGTGTTGGACCCCCAGGGCTCACGTTTGGTATAATTGAATTAGTCCAAATAGCATTCTCTTACATAGGAAAAGGAATTAAGAAATCTACCCTAACCTAACTTAACCTGTCCAAGCAATACTAGGACTTATACTCGTTGTCTTATGTCTAATATAGCACATATATATATATATATATATATATATATATATATATATATATATATATATATATATATATATATATATATATATATATATATATATAAAGAGTACCACCTCTAGCTGGAAGAAGGGGGACCCATAGCCTCGGAGGAAACCACGCATAACGCATTAGAGGGAATGTTTAGATCCCCCACAATACAGTTTCTGTGTGCTTTTCTCCTACCACCCCCTTCCTTTTTATTTTTGTGCTTTATTATGCATTTGATGGTACATGATATACATGGGTTGATACAAAAAATAATAATGCAAAAAGGTGATTAAAGGTTATGGATCTCTTGAAAAAACACAACAATGGGAAACATTGATGAATGTCACAGACGGGTTCGATCATTGTTGCAAGTCAAACACTTCTTCGAATTCCTCTGAAGTTGGACTAGTGCCCAAGACCGCAACAGGCATTTCCCCTCTGAATCGCAACACTGAGGCGCTGGAACAAGAAACTTTTTGCTCTCTGGTCTTTTGTAGCGCTGATCAATTTGTCCCCAATTCCTATATATATTAATATATATATATATATATATATATATATATATATATATATATATATATATATATATATATATATGTGTGTGTGTGTGTGTGTGTATGCATAACATATATATATTTTGTTATACCAAGCCTAGGAATCTTAAAGTTTGAGATTTGACTTTTTTCTCGGATTATAAAATTGTTAGTACAAGACGTAAACATTTTTGGGTCCGAGAGTACTCTTGGACCCTCGGTACCCTCGATCAAATATATCACACAAGAAAGAATTTGCTTACCATTGTTGCATGGAGTCCGAAGTGGCGTCCGAGGTAGGGTTCGAGATTGAGGACGAGGTGGAGTCCAGTGTGGTGAAGGACTTTCGAGCGGTGGAGGGAGGTGGTGTCCGGGGCGGACGAGGAGGGCCCGTGGTGAGGCCAGGAGGGACGCTGGCACAGTAATGACCAGGTACAGAGATGGTAATGACCATGTTCCATGATAGTGTCGTGACGACCCCGCTTGTCAACACTTGCCAGAGGTTCCAGGTCGTGTTTACACCAGAGAAGCGGTCTTTACGTCCTCTGTCACCGCTGGAATTACCACCCTAAACACCCCTGCAACAACTACCCTCAAACACCGCTGCAACAATGCCTCCGACGTGTTTCATTAAACACGCCGGAGCACACCTCACGAAACCCGCTCCTGTGCCAGGTAAGTCCACTACGCGCTCACCATAGGCCGTGCTACTTGGAACTTTTTGTTCCAAGTAGCTGAATCTATAACAACAACCTGACGGAACCTGTCTTGTGGTCTACTCCACCGAGATCATGTGCGACACTGTCCGGTCAGCCAAGTTCCAGCGATCGAGTGCCACTTACCACTCCAGGTGAGTGAGAGGCTGCTGTCACTCCAGGTGATCGAGAGTGCCACTTACCACTCCAGGTGATCGAGTGCCACCACATCAGGGGGATCGAGTGCCGCTGCCACCTTCATGATATCACAAAATCGTTCAGAGTTAGGAACATTAGAAAGTTATCTTTCTGTGTTATAATATTCGATCTAACAATATTTCAATCAATAATGAATTTAACAAAAGGCTAATATCTTTGTTTTCCCTCCAATAATATATAAATATAATTAAATCATACATAAAAATAACACAAAACAAAACATAATCCCTGTTGAAAAAACTTCAGAACGCTCAACATAGTGAACTAACACCGGTGACCCGCCAACAGTCTAGTGGAACCCATTCACTTGGACTGGTCGGTATATATATAGAGCGATATTCTCGCTTCTTGCAGCGTAGGCGTTCGATCCCCGATAATCCATGAGGTTGGGCACCATCCCCCCCCCTCCTCCAACGTTCTCATCTGCCAGCTCCTTCTCCAAGTCCATTACAGAACCATTGACTGCGACACTTGGGTTTTCATAAATTAGTTTATAGCTCAATGAGGGAAAATTCACTATATGCATCAACTGCATATTTCTGAGCAAAAATGTGTGTGTGTGTGTGTGTGTGTGTGTGTGTGTGTGTGTGTGTGTGTGTGTGTGTGTGTGTGTGTGTGTGTGTGTGTGTGTGTGTGTGTGTACTCACCTAGTTACTCACCTAGTTGTGTTTGCGGGGGTTGAGCTCTGGCTCTTTGGTCCCGCCTCTCAACCGTCAATCAACAGGTGTACAGATTCATGAGCCTATCGGGCTCTGTCATATCTACACTTGAAACTGTGTATGGAGTCAGCCTCCACCACATCACTTCCTAATGCATTCCATTTGTCAACCACTCTGACACTAAAAAAGTTCTTTCTAATATCTCTGTGGCTCATTTGGGCACTCAGTTTCCACCTGTGTCCCCTTGTGCGTGTTCCCCTTGTGTTAAATAGACTGTCTTTATCTACCCTATCAATCCCCTTCAGAATCTTGAATGTGGTGATCATGTCCCCCCTAACTCTTCTGTCTTCCAGCGAAGTGAGGTTTAATTCCCGTAGTCTCTCCTCGTAGCTCATACCTCTCAGCTCGGGTACTAGTCTGGTGGCAAACCTTTGAACCTTTTCCAGTTTAGTCTTATCCTTGACTAGATATGGACTCCATGCTGGGGCTGCATACTCCAGGATTGGCCTGACATATGTGGTATACAAAGTTCTGAATGATTCTTTACACAAGTTTCTGAATGCCGTTCGTATGTTGGCCAGCCTGGCATATGCCGCTGATGTTATCCGCTTGATATGTGCTGCAGGAGACAGGTCTGGCGTGATATCAACCCCCAAGTCTTTTTCCTTCTCTGACTCCTGAAGAATTTCCTCTCCCAGATGATACCTTGTATCTGGCCTCCTGCTCCCTACACCTATCTTCATTACATTACATTTGGTTGGGTTAAACTCTAACAACCATTTGTTCGACCATTCCTTCAGCTTGTCTAGGTCTTCTTGAAGCCTCAAACAGTCCTCTTCTGTTTTAATCCTTCTCATAATTTTAGCATCGTCCGCAAACATTGAGAGAAATGAATCGATACCCTCCGGGAGATCATTTACATATATCAGAAACAAGATAGGACCGAGTACAGAGCCCTGTGGGACTCCACTGGTCTGTGTGTGTGTGTGTGTGTGTGTGTGTGTGTGTGTGTGTGTGTGTGTGTGTGTGTGTGTATTTTCCAATTAATATTTGCTTATTTTATCTGTAATTTGCGAAAAACGTTATTTAACTTGTGTAATTGAAACAGTATAATTCATTCGTTATACAATTCAAAATATTATTCATGTCCATAGTGTTTCTTGAAGAGGCCAGTGATGCATACAAGTATTATTTTTACACACTCCTGGAGCAATATGCCGGAATTTCAATATGGAGCCCAAAAGACGTCAGCCGAGCCATTATACTTGGTGGCATTATACCCACTCTAGTTATAGAGATCTCTGTGGTTAGGTCCCAATAGTGCGTGGCGCGCATGCGTGATGACGTCATTCATTTACAAAAACAACGATATTAATAATAAAATATTTGGGCTCGGTTCAAAAATCTCGGGGGAAAAAATAATTTGACAGGTAGAATTATGAGATAATTTTACAAATGACATGTTGTTTGACATAAGAACATGTGCTCGAGTTGTTTATAAGGTGACGGGCGCGCTTTCTCCCCGCGCCTCGTGCGGGGTGCGCATGCGTGATGACGTCATATGAGGGCAGCGATAACGGCTGTAAACAACATTTATTTTCGCGTCTGGTTATTATTTCTGGGACCAACAAACATTTGAAAGTATTAAAAATTGCTGGTAATTTTGCAAATTATATGTTATGATATGAAATATTCAAATATGGCTCTTCCCCCCCCCCCTAATCCACATATCCCTTCATCCCCCCTTCCACATCCCCCCCTTCTCCCCTCTCCTATTACTCTTCCTTCCCTCTCATCTCCCCATTTTCTATTTTCTCCCTCCTCCCCTTCTCTCCAACCTGGAATAGATATTTCCATTTATTTCTAGTTCTGCAGTCCCTGTGGCGCAGTGGTAACACACTCACCCTATTTGGCCTGGGTTCGTGTCCTGGCCGGGGAGGATTGACTAGGCGCCAATCCTTAACTGTACGCCTCTGTTCACCCAGCAGTGAATGGATACCTGGTTGATAAACGATTTGGCGGGTCGTATTCCAGGGGGAAATTAAGATTAAGGACCTGCCTGAGTCGCTATGCGTGCTGGTGGCTGTGCAAGCATTTAAGAACTGTTGTATATATAAATAAAAATAAAATTATATAGACTTGGTACCCGGTTGCACTCAGGTCATTCATTCCCCCCCCCCCCTCCCCCTTCCATTGGGCTGGACGGTAGAGCGACGGTCACCCTTCATGCAGATTGGGGTTTCAGTCCCCTAGCGTCCAAGTGATTGGGCACCATTCCTTCACCCCCCCCCCCCGTCCCATCCCAAATCCTTATCCTGACCCCTTTCCAGTGATATATAGTCGTAATGGGTTAGCGCTTTCCCCCTGACAGTTCACTTCCCTTCTCTCTCTCTCTCTCTCTCTCTCAGTCTCTCTCTCTCTCTACCCGCTTATAGCGTGTAATAATCGTGTCACTCTTTTTCCCCTCATTAACAGTACACAGCAGCGCTACTGCTGGTCCTAGCAGCAACAGCGAGAACCTCGACCAAAGGACAGCAGCAGGAGCAAGGTGACATCACCTTCGACCTCCTCCAGGAACCGGCAAAACCCGACCCTGCAGAGGATGCCGTCGTTCTCGACCTTCTCCGGACAGAAGACGACCCCGTAAAGGCCAGCAGCCCTGCAGGGGACGACTCAACAAATTCCCATCCCGAGGAAGATGACGTTGTCTTGGACCTCAGTAGTCCTGAAGCGGCTGGTCTCGAACTGCCCGCGGACAGTCAAGAGGTCTCTGCTGCAGGTGGGTCCCCCGACCGCGACACCTTTGCAGCAGGTGGGTCGCTAGAGAGAGAGAGAGAGAGAGAGAGAGAGAGAGAGAGAGAGAGAGAGAGAGAGAGAGAGAGAGAGAAACGGAGAAACGTGGCGGTAAACGTTAACCAAACACAGCAGGCAGTAGAGACACACTCAGCTCCCAACACAGTCAACTAAGCCCCCGCTTGTATTCTTAGCCCGAGAGAGTGAGAAAGTGAGAGGACCTCCCCTGCTCCTGCCTCAGGTACCCTTGGCTGAGACCATCGACCCCCACACACTCTCAGCCAGCCAGGGAAGCAGCCCCGTGCTCCCTATAGCCAGTTATAATACTAGATAAGACATAATACATTAATGAAGTGAACCGTTAGTATATTAATACACTAGTTACCGCTCTTACATTTCCCTCTCCTAATTATCTCCCAAACGATGAATTTTTCTCTAATGTACTTAGTATGCCGTTTTTTGTTTTTTTAACTTTTGGGTACATTGAAGTCAGGCCAGTTTTTATTATTTCAATATATGTTCTGCACAATTTTGGCCCAGATAATCCACTATTTCTTGTAAAACGAATACTTTTCAGGAAATTAGGTATGGCGGAAGAGCAGTCACTGACACTCAAAGGAAAGAAAGCAGGAGATAACGATTTATAATATAAGCCAATTAGGACACATTCTCCAAGACTATGTCCGTGATTGCTCTGTAATAAATGATTTCAGAACAAATGGTATGAGACACTCTGAGCTCAGTAACTACCTCAGACACTCAGGTATATTGGAGGAGTGTTGAGTGTGTCTTAACTCAATGAGACAACACTAATGCCTTCTTGTCTCAGTGTCAACACTGACGCTTCACCGTGACGTGTGTCCCAGCATCACGGAGGAGGGAGTCATCCGGAGGAGGGAGGGAGTTTTCAGGGGAAAGCGCCAAACCATTACGAGTATATAGCACTGGGAAGGAAGTCAGGATAAGGATTTGGGATGGGACGGGGGGAAGGAATGGCGCCCAACCACTTGGACGGTCGGGGATTGAACGCCGACCTGCATGAAGCGAGACCGTCGCTCTACCGTCCTACCATCCGGAGGAGAAAACATTCACATAAATTGCAACTACCTTAAAAGACCAGCACCATCATTGACCACCAAGTGCTCACGTCAAGTCTAACTCTATCAATATCTACCTTCGAAGTCTGAACTTTTGAAATTATAAAACTGAACACCACGAACGTCAGACTCTTTATATTATTCAGCTCTAGCACGAAGCCGCGCCCCCTCCCCCTCCTATCCCCAAAATACCAAGCAGGTAGGCGAGTTTTAGGAATTAACATACAAGAGAAGATTAATGAAACTGAAGTTCCCATCATCGAAGTAAGGCACCAGCAGGAGGGACATGATCACAACTTACAAAATACTCGGTGGAATCGACAAGGCAAAATAAAAATATACTTGGCGCCTCCCAAGACCAATAAAGGAGGATGTCTTGGCGCCCCCCAGGACCAATAAAGGGGGATGTCTTGGCGCCCCCCAGGACCAATGAAAGCGGGACCTCGGCTCCCCTAGGACCAGTAAAAGGGGGGAGATCAAGGCGCCCCCAGAACCGGTAAAAGGGGGGATGTTCCGGCGCCTCCAGGACCAATGACAGGGATTTGTTATTTACCCATAATTATATTATAATAACCCTGTCTCGTAATATTTTGTTGAAAAACAATCTGTTACGGCCAATATACATAAAATATAATATAAATATGATAAACAATATACTCTGGCACCTTCACCAATATATTAACACCTTCACCACTATATTAACACCTTCACCAATATATTAACACCTTCACCACTATATATATTTTATATTAAAGTATTACTACACACATTTATAATAGTGTCTCTTTCACGCAGGACACAATACATTAGCTGTGTTCATCAATCTCGGTGAATCCACTTTCCAGGTACACGTCGTCCACACTTAATGGCAAACACCGGCGAGTTCACCTGCATTATGGGCCAGTCCACGCACACCGTATCTTCACGATGTGCCAATACCCCGCCTCCGCTCTCCACTGGCAGAGGGTTTCAGCAACACACTGACAGGGTCTCAAATAGTCACATACAGGGATAGCTAGCACCCTGGCATCTCAAGTCGCTTACTAGCAACACTTCTCAACAGACGCACCACTGTCGTCTGGTAACTCTTACTGGCCAATCCTGGGTACGTCGATCCATACAATACTGCATACATCAGCAGCTAACACACTGCTCTAATTGACGGCGGCCACTTAGTCTTCTCACAGGACTAAATCGAGAGTTCTTGGACTGCCCAAGGTGAACTGCCCTCCTCGGCGCAAATGCCTGCTTATGTCACCTGTGTGAACATAAAACGTCATTAATTAGATGGACAGTACACTGGGTGTACTATCCAATCGACTTGAGAATGGTCCAGGACGGACCGAAACGTCGTCGTCCCTTCACCTTCTAGTGTGTGGTCCGGTCAAAAATACACTGGGTGCCCTTGATAACACCCTTCCACCGGCGAATTGAAATTGTAACTTGTAGTCACAACCTAGATGACGTTGATCTCGATACACCACTCACCAGAGGTCGTCCTCGTCGACTTCACATTGTGACTGAAGCAGGAAACCGGAACGGTTCACTGATACATGCCACCAACACCAACACATGGCGTTGTCTGCGTAGCATTCAATACCAGGGAGTTGGAGTGCAGACCACTCCAACTCCCCGGTATTGGAGTTGGAGTGCAGACCACTCCAACTCCCTGGTATTGGAGTTGGAGTGCAGACCACTCCAACTCCCCGGTATTGGAGTTGGAGTGCAGACCACTCCAACTCCCCGGTATTGGAGTTGGAGTGCAGACCACTCCAACTCCCCGGTATTGGAGTTGGAGTGCAGACCACTCCAACTCCCCGGTATTGGAGTTGGAGTGCAGACCACTCCAACTCCCCGGTATTGGAGTTGGAGTGCAGACCACTCCAACTCCCCGGTATTGGAGTTGGAGATGGCTCTGAAATCGCCACTCTACACTCCGACGATGGTGTCGATACCGTAACACAGTCCATCGGAAACGAAAGGAAAGAGGAACATACCTTAAGCTGGAGGAGTTGTGTCCCGCGATGAGCTAAAAAGGCCTTACCTGTAATGACAGAAAGTAATTATTAATGCCTATTGAAGTTCTTATATGCACAATATAATCATATACGACATATGTAATATATGAATGGTCACATGCATCCCCATGTTGGTATGCAAGAGGCGGAGACGCGGGTGACTTTGAGGCTCGAGGTTGATGCTTACCTTCTCCTGAAGGAGGGTTGCGCTGCCCGTAGTGGGGTCAGACAAGGGGGGTCAGCGCTGCCCCTAGTGGGGTCAGACAAGGGGGGTCAGCGCTGCCCCTAGTGGGGTCAGACAAGGGGGGTCAGCGCTGCCCGTAGTGGGGTCAGACAAGGGGGGTCAGCGCTGCCCCTAGTGGGGTCAGACAAGGGGGGTCAGCGCTGCCCGTAGTGGGGTCAGACAAGGGGGTCAGCGCTGCCCGTAGTGGGGTCAGACAAGGGGGGTCAGCGCTGCCCCTAGTGGGGTCAGACAAGGGGTCAGCGCTGCCCCTAGTGGGGTCAGACAAGGGGGGTCAGCGCTGCCCGTAGTGGGGTCAGACAAAGGGGTCAGCGCTGCCCCTAGTGGGGTCAGACAAGGGGTCAGCGCTGCCCCTAGTGGGGTCAGACAAGGGGGGTCAGCGCTGCCCGTAGTGGGGTCAGACAAGGGGTCAGCGCTGCCCGTAGTGGGGACAAGGGGGTCAGCGCTGCCCGTAGTGGGGTCAGACAAGGGGGGTCAGCGCTGTCCATAGTGGGGTCAGACAAGGGGGGTCAGCGCTGCCCCTAGTGGGGTCAGACAAGGGGGTCAGCACTGCCCGTAGTGGGGTCAGACAAGGGGGGTCAGCGCTGCCCGTAGTGGGGTCAGACAAGGGGGGTCAGCGCTGCCCCTAGTGGGGTCAGACAAGGGGGGTCAGCGCTGCCCGTAGTGGGGTCAGACAAGGGGGGTCAGCGCTGCCCCTAGTGGGGTCAGACAAGGGGGGTCAGCGCTGCCCGTAGTGGGGTCAGCGTCAACACTACTCCCCACGTGCTCACTAACACAAATAAAAGCGGTGTTTCCAACATTCACGAATCACTCACAAAGATTTAAATATCCAGTACGAGAGGAGAAACACAGCAAGAACCGCAAGTACCCAACAAGTACGTAATTTTGCCACAGCCATAAAAAGGGAATTTCCACCATTTATTTCCAGTAAATCACTAAACGTTCTAAGAATTACCATTCAGTCACGTTAACATGTCTCCGTGGTGTAGTGGTAAGACACTCGCCTGGCGTTCCGCGAGCGCTATGTCATGGGTTCGTATCCTGGCCGGGGAGGATTTACTGGGCGCAATTCCTTAACTGTAGCCTCTGTTTAACGCAACAGTAAAATGTGTACTTGGATGAAAAAACGATTCTTCGCGGCAGGGGATCGTATTCCAGGGACCATAGGATTAAGGACTTGCCCGAAACGCTACGCGTACTAGTGGCTGTACATGAATGTAACAACTCTTGCATATATCTCAAAAAAAAAAAAAAAAAAAAACATTTAGTAGCGGCGTGTCCTGCCTTAGTGTCTTGCGTATTCTTCACAATGCACTTTCAGGATTTTGTTAGACACGAAACTAACAATAAAAATACTCGCAACCGTAGACCACAACACTGCAGTTTGCTAGTCCACACACTAATGTTAACTAACTCGCAGTTTTTTTTTAAATCCCACAACATCCAGTCTCGGTGTGACCGAACGCTTGGGAAGATTTTCAAATACACTTTAGAGACATCTGTCAGAGTCACAGTGTCACAGCCCTCACAACACAGCCACCACAACACAACCATCACAACACAACCACTACAACACAGCCCTCACTCGCCCGCCAAACTAGAGGATCCAGACAATCTTCCTCTCGAGTTTCCAAGGAAACTGCTAATAAACCCATTTAAAGCCAGGTGGTGCTTCATCACAGCCCAGGGTCAAAACACCGACCACGTGCTTATCTTAGTGCTTGTGGTCGAATCACATTGTAGTAGGTATTTCGCTTTTTTTAATTTAAATGCGAATAAATCAGCTGGTCGTTGTAAACACTGATTGGGCTCACGTTGACCAGCCGCCGACTGCCAGTTGTTGGCGTACGAGAATTCCTAGACGATGGTTCTTGCCCCCTCCTGTCAGGGTGGGTGTAAGAAGCCCTCTGTACTTTGGTACATTTGTACCTACGTAGGTACAAATGTACCAAAACGGTACAATTTGAAACTACTATATTATAAGGCACAGTTTAAACAATTTAGTAGAGCAACACGTAAGGATGACAGCCCGTTCTCGAAGTTGACATTTCAGTATTTACACCATGATAACATAAGACTTAGTATGTTAACTTTACCACCTTCCTAACACTCAAGTCAGCCTTTGATATTGCAAAACCGACATGTTATCTTGAGTAATCTTGTGAGAATGAATATTGGTGGTCGGCTTTGTTGTTGGATCAGAGGTTACTTATCCAACAGGAAGTCATCTGCATTATTCCAGGGATATAGGAGTGTAACAAGAGACTTCGAACTAGGCACCTACATGGAGATATCCTCAGCCATCAGTCCTCAGTTATAGTTCTCAGCCCTACCTTATTTAATATCTTAATAAACGCGCCGTGAAATTCTATGCTAAGCAAACCCAATGGGGGAGCATCATTAACTATGCTGATGAGATAATGGTACATAAGAAGATACTAAGTATCTGCCTTACAAGTAGGTCATCGCAGCACCCAATCCCCTCATTGCTTGAAGGTACACAGGGCGGCTGCCAGCCACTGTACACCCACGGAGAGAACTCGCATGTATTTATTATAACTATATTTTGAGTGATTCCGTAAATTCATGCAAATGATGTCTTAAAAACAATAGTTTACTCAAACATTTGGCTTCGTGGTATACACGTAAACTTATTTAACTAAACTAGCGCATTACATTAGGTTATTACCTTCTCATTTTATTGAATACGAAGTTAATTTATTTAAGTCCTAACTATGCCTTCCTTAATCTCTAAACCTTGTTGAACCTCTGCTCACGTGTTCGTCCTGCTTACCATTTGAAGGCCACGGAGAAGACAAGTCCAACAAGGCAGGTGATAAGGACCAGCTCGGCTACAAGGACCAGCTCGGCTACAAGGACCAGCTCGGCTACAAGGACCGCCACTACAACAATCACGACCAGGACAATGCCAAGGTAACAATCTAACTTACATTCAGCCATCCAATATCTGGTCCAATTCATCTTCTCTTCCAACTGTTAGTGACATCTACAGCCCATTAGCCTCATATACACAACACAGTACTTAAGTTTTTACTATCAAACGTCAATAAGTTTCTGACGTTGTCATCAAACTGTCGTTGTCATCAAACTGTCGTTGTCATCAAACTGTCGTTGTCATCAAACTGTCGTTGTCCTCAAACCGTCGTTGTCATCAAACTGTCAGACCTGCGCCCTCAATCCGGAGACATCGTGAGAACACTAACCTCAGTCACTGTCATATCTTCTTGGCTGACACGGTAGTGTATCTGTCAAAGTCACTTCTTGAAGAAAAAACTAAATTGAATTCACCACTGTCAGTCTTACGTCTCGGTTCTCTACATGCTTGATTATTTTATTTAACTGGCGTAATATGTGAGTTATATGTAAGTATTTTTTTTAAATTCTTAAAAAAATTATCTAAACTTTTAGACTGAATGTTGAAGAAGGCTCACAAATTTATTCTTGCTAGTCTCGTCAAATATTAACACTTGCATCGCATTCAGATTTTCAGATTTTTCCCCTTTGACTGATGTGACTTTGTATAACTAACAGGGCCCTCATGATAGCCAGGACAAGAGGGCCAAGGGTCCCCACGATAGCCAGAACCAGAGGGGCAAGGGTCCCCACGATAGCCAGGACCAGAGGGCCAAGGGTCCCCACGATAGCCAGGATCAGAGGGCCAAGGGTCCCCACGATAGCCAGAACCAGAGGGCCAAGGGCCACAACGACAAACCCAAGTACCGTGTGAACGTTCACAAGGAAGGGAGTCACCACTACGGCCATCGCAATAAATCACATAAAGATAAGGTAAGAATTACCGTAAATTATTGAATGAACTAATGTGATATAGTTTAATGTAGTGGGTTGTAGTCATGCCGAGGAGCGACCATCATTTACTTTCTCACTTGTGTGGTTCAGGGGAATAACGATTCGTACCGTAAGGAGAAGACTCTCCACAACAACAGGAAGTTCGAGCACCTTGAGGCCAAGAAGCACTTCGACCACCGCGACGCCAAGAAGCACTTCGACCACCGCGACGCCAAGAAGCACTTCGACCACCGCGACGCCAAGAAGCGCTTCGACCACCGCGACGCCAAGAAGCGCTTAGAGCACCCCGACTCCAAGAATCACTTCGACCACCGCGACGCCAAGAAGCGCTTAGAGCACCGCGATGCCAAGAAGCGCTTCGACCACAGCGACGCCAAGAAGCGCTTAGAGCACCCCGACTCCAAGAATCACTTCGACCACCGCGACGCCAAGAAGGGCTTCGAGCACCGCGACGCCAAGAAGGGCTTCGAGCACCGCGACGCCAAGAAGCGCTTCGACCACAGCGACGCCAAGAAGCGCTTCGACCACCGCGACGCCAAGAAGGGCTTCGAGCACCGCGACGCCAAGAAGCGCTTCGACCACAGCGACGCCAAGAAGCGCTTCGAGCACCGCGACGCCAAGAAGCGCTTCGAGCACCGCGACGCCAAGAAGCGCTTCGACCACAGCGACGCCAAGAAGCGCTTAGAGCACCGCGACGCCAAGAAGCGCTTCGACCACCGCGACACCAAGAGGCAATCCTTCAAGTACTCTGACCCTGGCATCTCCACTAAGGCCACCAGGAGGCGGGACTCCAAGAGCGCCTACAACAAGGTATGTGAAGAAACATCGGACTATAATCGTTTTAGTTTTAGGATTTTTAAATTTATCATCACAATGTTGAGCTTTTAATATCTAGTACTGTTTTAATATTAAAACAAATCTGTATACATATCTTGAGCTTTCTTCTCGCTTGTTTAACTACTGTAGTTTTGATTGGTTTTAATGGTTTTAAACATCTTTACTCTCTAGTAGCAATAGCCACTCACTGTCGCACTCTTTTGAGTGTGTCTCGAAACTCATCTCTGCTTCGAGTCCATCAGCAATAATATAGATATGCCTTAGAGTGCCTCAGCCATAATATAGATATGCCTTAGAGTGCCTCAGCCATAATATAATGCTTTCATCACTAATGTCTATAATTTCTCCCTTATCTCTATCTTGTCTCTGTAGAGGGGTAGCTCGATCAAAAGTGACGTTACAAGTAGCGATGCAGGGTCGAGTGAGAAACCTTCTGGGGTCTCAGGAGTGACAAGGAGCACCGTGAACAAAATCCACTACAAGAGAAAAGCTAAAAGTGTCGTTCGTCATATTAAAGGTGAAAAAGAAAAGGCTAAGTCATCGAAGGTACAGAGCGCTAGTTCAAAATACAAGAGTTTAAGAAGCTCTGAAGCAAAATTTCAGAGCGTGAAAGATTCCAAAGGGAGATATAAAAGAGCTCAACAAAATAAGGCAGAGTCGAGAACAAAATTTAATACTACTCAAAAAATTAAGCCAAGAGTGAAGGGAGATAGACTAAGAAATGTTAGGTATACAAAACATATTTCAAAACCAAAATTCACAAAAGCACCAGAGAGACAAAGAGGTCAGAAAGAACAAGGCCAAGAAAACAAATTTGGCTCTACAGATATTGGACACAAACAGAGACGTGAAAATGTTGCGAAAGTTAGTAAGAATAAAGCAGCCAAGGTAATAAAAAAGACAAAGTTATTACATTCTTCTAAGGAAACAAGTCTTCAGTATTCTCAGAAAGAGAAGTTAAGTAAAGGATCTGGAGAGCTTTCTCAAAGACGTCGGGGAGGCAAGAAGCCGCACAAACCTCGCTTCAGTTCTATTCACCGGGAAACACGAGAACAATTGGCAAATTTAAAGAAAGAGAGAAACAAAAGAGAGATCTCAGCATCCGTCAACTCGAAAATACGACATCGTAAGTTTGGTGGGTCAGGGCGCAAGGAAGGCAGGAGAGGAGGGCAACGCAAGCTTAAATCACACCTTGGGAGCTCCCAGCGGCAAAGTGAGAGAGAAAACGATGTAAGTCATTCATTGCATTTGAAGCAGCTGGGAAAAGAGCCACACGCGAATAAGATTAAGAAGAAAAAATCAATTACAAACCGGACAAGAAACTGGAAAACCTCGAAGAGCACTACAAGACGCAATCGTCAGCTTCTTGGAAAAAACAATAAGAACAATGACATAACACCAAGGAGCGAGAAATATCAAGAGAGTGTCACAAAAAATCGAACCAATAACGAAAAAAAGTTCAAATCTCAAGCCTTTCAGGGGAACTACGGCAGAAAAAGCCACAACCCTCAAGGGAAGATGAGACAAAAACAAAGGATTATAAGGACTAATCTTAGAAAGCGAAAAGTGAAGATAAGCGATGTCAACATTGACACCAAAAGGGAAAGAAGAAGTGAGACAAAAATCAAAACAAACCGCAGCACGAGGAAGAACACTGCTAAGAATCCACTAAGTGGCAAACTTCTACGATCAAGGCAAGACGCAGGGAACAAAATAAATCGAAGGCAGGAAACAATGAACGAAAGAAATCGATGGAAGGAAGGCAGAAACAAGAGTTTTCGAAGGCAGGAAGTGAGGAACAAGAGTAATCGACGGCTCGAAGCAAGGAACAAAAGTAATCGGGGGAAGGAAGGAAAAAGCAAGAACTATCAATCGCAGGGAGCAAGGAATAAGTATAATCGAGGGCAGGAAACACGGAACAAGAATAATCCAGGGAAGGTAGGAAAAAATAAGAGTTATCAAAGGCAGAAAACAAAGGACAAAAGAAGCCGAAGGCAAGAAGCAGGGAAAAAGATTTATCAACCAAATATGAGAATAAGCAAAAGGAAGGAATCAAATATCAATAAAAATAGGCGCAGAGAAGAACGTGTATCTAGACCTCGAAATCCTCAAAATCGAGAACACCGGGTCCCTCAACCCTCTCCCCGGGGCCGTGTCAAAGATCTCCGGGGCCATGATAAACCTCCCCTGGGGTTTAACAAATATAAACTATTCAAACAAAGTCAACCTCAATTAAAAAACCTTCAAGACACTGATTTTTTCAAAAGACCAAAATCTAAAAAATTGAGAAACAAGACATTTGCAACAGTCAAAAGGAAAAGGAGATCGTTGTCGCGCAGAAAGTCCAACAACTCTCCAGAACACCTAGAGGATCATAGAGGTCGCAGGAAGCACCGGAGCTCTGGTAAAATTACTAATGCAAGAACGTTTACATCCAGAGACGTTACGAGATCACGCCGAGGGCAGCAGCAGAGGAAAGAAGCTGATGCAACAATCAGAAGGCTGAAGAATTCGCCTCAAAAATCTAGAAGGGTTGAGAAAAGTTTTGTCCTCCGGAGAAACAAACTAAGCCACAACTCCCCGACAAGAAACAGACAGTTACGAAAACGACTCGAAAACCAGAGGAACATTTCACATGAAAACACAAGAATGAAGACCACAGATCGCAAAAACAAAGAAGCAATTATAAATCACAAGAAAAATGAAAAATTATCCAAGAGCAAATCCAGAAGAACTCGGCCAAAACTTTCCAACAAGACAGAATACAAGGAAAGTCACTTTAAGTCTAAGGACTCCCTACAGAAGGCAGGGAGAGGGAAAATGGCAAGTGTCGAAGGAAAGTTGTTGAGTACGTGTCTCAATACTCTGTCCAGAGTTTGTCAGTTAATCGACAAATGCCTCCTCGACGCTTACCAACCGGAGCGACTCGCAGAAAACGAGATTCGTCGCTCAGGAAAAACGAGACCTCACCGGAGAGACTACGTTAGAGACAACAGCAAGGGTGGCGCGAGGAGAATGATGCGACCATCGACATATATCAAGATACACAAACAAAGAGCCAATGAACGCTATAAGAGCAGCTCTCCAGGGAGAAACAGAGGAACAAAACAACAAAATAACTGGCTACAACACACGAAATATAAACAAAAAGACTCGAGACGCAACAAAAGGCGAAGTTTTGTTGCTAGTAACAGGAGACGCCAGCCATGGGAATAACCCGCACCGGACCCGTCTTGTCAAAGGCTCACCATTAACCAGACAAACTTGCACCGTTATTCATGCCAAGTAAACCTCGGGCGCTTGAGATTTCTGAGTAAAATTTAACTATTCTAAAAAAATAATAATATTTACACCCTCAGGAAGTAAGAAATAAGCAGTGTGCAGACAGTATGATTCAAAATAGTTATATTTAAATCGTCGTAGCGGCCCGAAGAAGTATACATAAGCCTTGGTAAAATAGTTCACTCGGAAAGCATAAAAGGAACTAAATAAACTAAGGCAGAAAAAAAAACGGAGAAATAAGAACGGCGAACAAGACAGTCAGGCGGAACAACAATGATGAAATGAGGATTACAAGAACTGGAGACAAGGTTAGGGGAACAACAGGTCCCTGAAGACTGTCGTCCAGAGGGGATGACAGGGACGACGACTCTGCATCAACAACGAGCCACAACCGCTCACAGTCACCATATAGATCCAAAGAATAATTTGAGTAAATTAACAAAAAATAGCCAAGTAATCAAATGAACAATTATATGACAAAAAAACTGTCTGCCGGTCTTAACTAATATCCGCGAGAAAACTAGAAAGAAAAATGTCTAAAAAATACGAAGCGAAGCTATGGTAACCTACGACCTTTAGAACATCAGACGAATAGTGGGTACAGACCTGCCTCAGGGGATTCTGACAGGACTGACATTAAAAACGATCTCAAGTATTGTGCCAGTGAAGGTAGAGGAGAATCATATTGTTCAGCATTAAGAGATTTAGTCTTATAATTCGTATTACAAGGCCAACAATGCCTTATAATTAATATTATAAGGCATTATTGGCCTTATAATACTAATCGTTTGACTAACAACATCGTTACAGAAGTGTCACCTGTTGATGCGTGATTAGACCTGCTTTAAGTAATATATATGGAAAAGCATGTGAATACAAACCAGGAAGGCAAATGAAAATCTGTCGACAGACTATACCAGGTGACACAGATACATGTAAAAGAAGCAGTATTATTCTCGTGACGGGCTGAATACCAGTGAAAAGTCTGAGAGGCCTACCTTACCTTGAGGTGCCTTACCTCACCTGAGGCAATTATAGTCTTAAATATCTCTACCTGACACGAGGGAAAATGAGCGTGGAACATGAGCCAAATACACAAACAAGTAATCGAAACAGAACAAATCAAGCATTCTGCAGAAGATCAAAGGAAGCCAAAAAGCAAGAAGGTGAAGGGACAACGACGTGTCGGTCCGTCCTGGACCATTCTCAAGTCAATTGCGAATGGTCCAGGACGGACCGAAACGTTGTCGTCCCTTCACCTTCTAGTGTGTGGTCTGGTCAATATACTGTAGCCACGTTATTGTGACTCATCGCCTGCAAAAAGCAAGATATAATAAAAAGGGAGTTTAAAGGCGTCAATAACTAATACGAACACAAAAGCCGCGAGAAGTCAAGAGAACAACAGCATCATCTGGCCGAGGTGTAAAGGAACGCCGGTGTCGGCGCAGCTTCGGGTTGCCCGTGGACCAGAATAGCCAGGTGAGACCGGGGGTTGTTGTGAGACCCGCGCACCTGACACTCCTCTGCTTGTCTGCTTTGCTGCTCGAGGATTTCTTCAGATAGTTTTTGTTTTCCCTCTCGCTCTTTTTAAACTTACTAATTTGCTAGTATGGGACATTATAACCTTCTAAAACACTAATATTATGATGATATTCCACTTGTATCCCTGTCCGTACAAGATTTTCTCTCCCATCAAACTAATTAAAACACAGCATTCCTGCCCCGTTCAGATTAATTCCAAATATAAAAGAATGCAAAATAACAACAAAAAAAAGTTAAAAAGAATTTAGTCAGACAAACACACTCTCACGCAGGCAAAAAAATCACACAACATAACAGAAGCGCAACTCGCCTAAAGGCTGCAGTATCAAAACGTAAATACAAAATTGGTCTGTTTAATTGCAATATTCGGGATAATGTTAAACATTCTGAAAAAACTCAGAGGTAACTCGAACTGTATTGTGGTTACGCTTAAATTAACCATTTGTATAAAAGTTATCACTGCCTTCACTCCTCTGTGTTCATGAGTATGTGAGTGTAATGCTTGATGTATACATTCCCATGTGTATATAATTTTGTGTAGCACTTTTGTATATATTGGAATTTCAGCTGAATGCATGTGTTTTTGTTATTATTTGCATTATTATTATTATGTTAATCGCTTCCTATATTCACTTATTTTTCTAGACGATGAGTCACAATAACGTGGCTGAAGATATGAAGACCTGGGGTCAGATTGACGAAGCAGTTACGCAAGCACTTAAGAACCTGTACATCTTTTCTCAATCTTTGGCGGCTTTGTTTGCAATTGTTAAACAGTTAATGAGCTCCGTAGCACCAGGAGGCTGTTTATAGCAATAACAACAGTTGATTGGCAAGTTTTCATGCTGGTTAACTGTTGAATAAATGTAACCAAAGCCGTCAAACATTGAGGAAAGATGTACACGTTCGTAAGTGCTTTCGTGAATCTGGCCCTAGACCACACACCAGTAGATGAGGAGACGATAATGGTCTCCTGGACCATTATCAAGAATCTATAATATATTAAACGGATCAGATTATAGTAGCCTATCTTTATACTTTGCTGTGTATTGAAATGTCATAAAGTGATGACCAAACCCCAACTCTGAAGATGGAGAAGCGACGCCATTCTTCTGAGTTGCGGTTTGGTTTATCAGCTGCGTAATGAAGCTTGTAATGTTTAAGCACAAAATAGTGTTTTGAAAATTTAATTTTCCCGCTGAATATGTGGCGGGAAAAGCACTCAACGATATTACTTCCGGTATAAATAATTCTGATTATACTTTCCAATTTCCTTTATTCCATTACTTTGTTTTGAAATATGAAAGAATAACCGGCAACAGCCTTGTATTGTCGATATTTGAACACTGGCGGCGATAGATAAATTAAGCATTGGTCAAGATTTTTCAAATAGTGCATATAAATGTTGTTTAAAATCTAGTCTTTCTGTTGCTGAAAACAAAATGGTGATGATATAGAAATCAGCTGGATACCGTTATAGTTGCTAAATCTCATGAAGAAAAATATCTGGGTGTTGTAATTAATGTAGATGCATATATGAGATAGAAATAAAACATCCGATGTTATTCTTCAGCATTATATTGTCCTTGTTAGGCCCCATTTAGATTATGCAATTCGGGTTTGGCCACCGTACTATAATGGATATAAATATGCAGAGGGAAATTCGACTTGAATTTCCCTCTGCATTCAATCGACTTGAGAATGGTCCAGGACGGACCGAAACGTCGTCGTCCCTTCACCTTCTAGTGTGTGGTCTGGTCAACATGCAGAGAGAAAGTTAATATCACTTCTACTAGTAATAGTAGCAGGCATCCATCAGTCTCAGGAGACTATGGAGTTGCTCTCTGGTTGTCGGTCTGGAGTGGCCTCACCAGGGCGCCAAGCCAGGGTAGGTTGATTCGGGGGAGAAGCTGTTACCCAAGCAGCAGGTCTTCCCTCTCCACGTCACCCATGTAGTTTGACTCCACCTTAAATATTAATTATTACCTACTTGGAACCTCAGCCTGGATCATCCACACCCGCCTATATACGTAAAACTTAGAACAAATCCTAAAATATTATTATTATGAAAGCTGAAAATAATTTGTCTTCCTCGGCCTGACAGCTGACTGGACAGCGCTTCGGATTCGTAGTCCTGAGGTTCCGGGTTCGATTCCCGGTGGAGGCAGAAACAATTGGGCAGAGTTTCTTTCACCCTGATGAACCTGTTCACCTAGCAGTAAATAGTTACCTGGGAGTTTGAGAACTGCTACGGGTTGCTTCCTGGGGGGTGTGTAACAAAAAAAGGAGGCCTCGTCGAGGACCGGGCCGCGGGGACGCTAAGCCCCGAAATCATCTCAAGATAACCTCTTTTCAAGCTTAAGTTTTTGGAGTGCTCAAACCAGTTCCCTCCCTCAGCACGTTCCCTTTAATACTTTATTTCATAAGTGTTGTACAAATCTGTCTTTTTTCCCCATATATAATGGTACGTGCACGAATTATTAAATACTTACACGTGTATCTCAACCGGCGTCTCTCTCTGGGAGACACAATTATTACATTATTACCAGAAAAAAATTCAATAACTGAATCCAATATTTGTACATGTATATATAAAACACTAAAAATATATATAATTATAAAATATTTATAATATAACCCCTGACAAAGTATGTAATATAGAAATTTAAGTAATATAAAAATAATTAATATAATAATAATAATTATTTAAATATTAATGTTAACACGTCTAAGATATAGAAAATAAATCAATAAATGGCATTAAAATCTTAATAAAAATATGTTACTTATAAAATGCCTAGTGGACTAGAAGTTTTCTTAAAATACAATTTAAGGGTGACTAATATAAATCCCGTCTCTTCCCTTCTCCATAGAGAACACGAGACGACCTTAACCACAGGAGGAAGAAGGATCACATAATGGCCCAGTACGGTGATGGTCTGAAGAGCCACCAGGGCCATCATGGCGGTAAAGGCCATTATAGACACGAGGTCTATACTGGAAAGATACGAGACTACAAAGTCAGTTATGGCCAAGATAACAGCAAGAAATATAGTCATGATCACAAGAAATATAACCAAGATGATCACGAGAAATATAATCAAGATGATAGCAAGAAATATAGCAAATATAGACACATGAGATATAGCCATGTCCATATGAAATATGGCCAAGATAACCGCAAGAAATATATTCAAGATGCCGACAAGAAATATGGCCAAGATAACAATAAGAAATATGGCCAAGATAACCACAAGAAATATGGCCAAGATAACCAAAAGAAATATGACCAAGATAACCAAAAGAAATATGGCCAAGATGCCCACAAGAAATATGGCCAAGATAACCAAAAGAAATATGACCAAGATAACCAAAAGAAATATGGCCAAGATAACAATAAGAAATATGGCCAAGATGCCCACAAGAAATATGGCCAAGATGCCCACAAGAAATACGGCCAAGATAACCACAAGAAATATGGCCAAGATGCCCACAAGAAATACGGTCAAGATAACCACAAGAAATACGGCCAAGATAACCACAAGAAATATGGCCAAGATAACCACAAGAAATATGGCCAAGATGACCACAAGAAATACGGCCAAGATAACAACAAGAAATATGGTCAAGATAACAATAAGAAATATGGCCAAGATGACCAAAAGAAATATAACCAAGATAACCACAAGAAATATGGTCAAGATAACCACAAGAAATACGGGCAAGATAACCACAAGAAATATGACCAAGATAACCACAAGAAATATGCCCAAGATGCCCACAAGAAATACAGGCAAGATAACCACAAGAAATATGGCCAAGATAACAACAAGAAACATGGCCAAGACGACCACAAGAAATATGACCAAGATAACCACAAGAAATATGGCCAAGATAACCACAAGAAATACGGGCAAGATAACCACAAGAAATATGACCAAGATAACCACAAGAAATATGCCCAAGATGCCCACAAGAAATACAGGCAAGATAACCACAAGAAATATGGCCAAGATAACAACAAGAAACATGGCCAAGACGACCACAAGAAATATGACCAAGATAACCACAAGAAATATGGCCAAGATAACAACAAGAAACATAGTCAAGATACACACATAACATACGTTAAAAATTCCAGTCACTGGCAGCATGATCATGGTTTGAACATTTGTGTTCACCATTTATCACGTTACATCTCAAACCCTCCTCAAGTGACATTATTACACACCAAAACCAAACACTAATCAATTAATTTCATGCGCTATGGTACCCAGAGTACAAAATAATGTCGTAGGATGGACAGTAGCGGCTCAGAAATATCCTCGTTTCCCCTGCGTAGGATGGATAGGTCAGGTAGGTGGTGTGGCTCCGTGCTTTTTAGTACCCTTTATTTTGTACGTGGTGGCAAATCTAGAGAACTGTCTGGGTCACACCGGGATCGCGGCTGCCGGTCGAGCGGGAAAACTTTCGTCGTTCAAGCGTACCTGGGCGGACTTCGATCTCGTGTACTTCCTTGAAGGTAAGCTGCTTGGGCACTCTTGAGTCGGAAGTCGCTCCATGCAGTCTTCAGGGCTCCGGGAGCTGCTTCCGCTTGCTGGCGGCGTAATACCCATCGGTAATACACTACAATTACCCTTGGTCGCTCTCTCCGGTTCCGCCTCAACAGCCACTCGAACTCTTGAGAGCTTCAGGCACATCGACAGACTTTAAGAAAAAAAAGAACCCTTTCGGCTTCATTCATGTATGTAGTGAGGCAGCTCTTGTGCGGCTTTCCTGACGTCTGTGACTCGGGTCTAAGATGCCTCGAGAGACCGCCTTCAAAAGCACTACAGAACTTCGGAAACTTCAAGTCTTTCTAAGAAGACATTCTGATTTTGACTCTTTAACTGTCTCGTGGTATTCATTGTGTGACTACCAAAACATTCTTCAGTATGCACAATGATTCCTCCTCAAATACGGAAGCCTGATCAACAAGGAACATGAGATATATATATATATATATATATATATATATATATATATATATATATATATATATATATATATATATATATATATATATATATATCGGGCTTGAGATCAGGAAAACATTTTAAACAGACATGACATTAAGTGTACAATTTTCAGGCCAATAAAGTGTAAATTATATGATGTTGAGTTTGCATTTGCGACAGTTGGATATGCCTTATTAGTGTTAAGCAAGTGATCCTTTATGAAAGCGGGCGCTCTTCGACTTGTGAAAGTAATCATTAATGAATACAGACCATCGTTGATGAGTTTAAGAACACTGTAATGAGTGGAGAAGGTGTTTGATGGTAATAATAACCATGTGTTGAGGACGACTTCGTAGCACTTCACAGCTCATAAGCCGTTTAGAAGATACCGACACATCTCGTAAGTGGATACGTAAGTGTCTATCCTGACACTTTACTACTCTTTATTACTCGAATTTAAAGTAGACACGCAGCTATTTATTCTATATCAGATAACTGTATCACGATCAATAGATCATCTGTAATCTATCTTTTTCCATTCAGCTATATTTATTTATTATTTTCTGTGTGTAAATATAATTGCTCTCGTTACAGAGTTCATAATAATAATTCCTCTTCTGATTCAACCACTTGGGCTGGAGGGCAGAGCGACGGTCTCGCTTCATGCAGGTCAGGCGTTCAATCCCCGACTGTCCAAGTTTTTGGACACCATTCCTTTCCCTCGTCCCATCCCAAATCCTTATCCTGACCGCTTCCAAGTGCTATATAGTCGTAATGGCTTGGCAGTTTCTCCTGAAAATTCCATCCTTCCCTCCTCTTCTTATTTATTTTTATTTTTTTCAATCAAAATAGTTTGTCATCACTGTCTTAAACTTAAGTAATTTCCTTCTTCATAGTTGTGGATTCTGGTTCAAGAACAAACAATAAGGAAAAAGTAATTAAGAAACTCTCTTGTTTATTTTGCTTTCCAGTTTCGATAAGTTGTTTGAGAGATGGGAAAAGCTGTCGTCTTTAATGGTCATTCCTCACCTTGAGTTACAGTGATAATAACTGGCCACAAGAGGTCTTACAGTGATCAGATCTCACCTGTAGTTACAGTGATATTAACTGGTCGCAGGAGTTGTATAGCAGCTTATAGATTTCATCAGATATGAATAAAATAAATGAATTCTAGGTCAGCAATTGCAATAATGTTGGTAATGACCAGCAGTGATAATGTCCACAGTGATAATGTCCTGCAGTGATCAGAGCAAAAAATTATGTTGGCCTCCTCCAGGTCCCTGCTGAAGTAGACTATAGTGGTGGCCCCCTCCAGGTCCCTGCTGAAGTAGACTATAGTGGTGGCCTCCTCCAGGTCCCTGCTGAAGTAGACTATAGTGGTGGCCTCCTCCAGGTCCCTGCCTCCTCCTCCAGGTCCCTGCTGAAGTAGACTATAGTGGTGGCCCCCTCCAGGTCCCTGCTGAAGTAGACTATAGTGGTGGCCTCCTCCAGGTCCCTGCTGAAGTAGACTATAGTGGTGGCCTCCTCCAGGTCCCTGCTGAAGTAGACTATAGTAGTGGCCTCCTCCAGGTCCCTGCTGAAGTAGACTATAGTAGTGGCCTCCTCCAGGTCCCTGCTGAAGTAGACTATAGTCGTGGCCTCCTCCTCCAGGTCCCTGCTGAAGTAGACTATAGTGGTATCCCCCCTCCCCCCAGGTCCCTAATTTCTCTCGAATTTTGGTATTCAGTATTTTTAATGAGATTTGCAGCTACAATTTGTACTTTTTCTAATACTAACGAAGGAATTGAAAGAACTTGAGTGTTCAGGGATTCATACCTGTATTGCTTAATTTCTTTTACAAAAACTTGAAGCTCTGTTTTTTTTTTTACACCGTGAACCAGTTAGGAAATTAATAGAACAATTGTCGTTATTTAATTGACCTACTTCATTTATGCGTGGCAAAATCTGCAGCAAAATACATTTACTCGTTTAAAACTGCTCGTCGTTTATCTCCTAAAGTTAAAGTATTATAAAGTATTATAAAGTATTATAAAGTTAAAGTATTATAAGTATCGCTCACGATACTTATAATAATTAATAATAAATATTATTTGTTCACATATACACGTGTATTTTCTTGAATATATATACGTAACAAATGCAAAGTGCCAGCTGCAATGCAATCTTGGTGCCACCCACATTGCACGTTTAGTGCCAACTACATTGCAAGAACTTCTTGCCAGGGAAGATGATAGACAAATAGCAGAGCCTTACTTCTCACAGGCCTGAGTTCACTGCTCATCTTACAAGTTGTTTACTTCGACGACAAAAAAGAATTAAAGAACTAGAGTGTACAGAGATCTCGTGCCAATTGCCAGGAATATCTTGTTGGGGTTCTTAGAACGATAACTTTTGTATGTACAGGATTAGATTCCTCCCGCAGACAGCAGAAGATGGCTCTTCCTGCCAGCAAGAGACGTCGACTCCTTCCTACGGCAGCAGAAGCACGCTCCTTTCTCTAGAAACAGCAACAGATTCTTCCTGCCGGTAGAAGGGACAAGTTCCCTTCCCCCCGCCAGTAGAAGCAAACACCTGCCGTCAGGAAGAGCTCCAGTGGCAGAGGCGTCCTGCTGGCCTGCCAGGTACACACCAACCCTGAGCAAACACAAGCCAAGAGGCAAGTTCGTATGTTTCCCTAAAAATACTTAGAGGAAGCAGCAGCCTGAAAGAGCGGAAGTTTTTCCCTGAGTCACAGAGGCAAGTGTAATGTTTGGGTACATACAACTGCAGCGAGGAAATTACTGGAGGCATAATGCTCACGAAAACCACTTTAATCATCCATCTGGTGTTCTTGGTGGATTGACTTTATGCGATGCTTGGGTTGGTTTGAGACGCTACTGGCGCATTAATCTTTTCATGAGACCTCAGAAGGTACCCAGGGAGCCATGAAGTTTATTATCCCCTCTTGATTCCAGCCACGGGCACAGACGTCCTCCGCTCTGTGCCTCTTCCAGGTGCCTCGAGGGAACAGAAAACTCGGGCACCGTTGTCTTTATAACCAAGCCACGGAGAAATAAACATTAATTACACGGAGCAAACATCACCCGGTGAAGTGTGAGTCAGGCAAACATCGGCTCCTGGGAAATGAAACTAATCTTGCTTTTGCCTTTAGTTATGAGACTATTACTACGCTGCTTCACACCTCCGTGTGATATCTCCTGGGGGCCAGATTCAAGAAGCAGTTACACAAGTACTTACGAACGTGTACATCTTTCCTTAATCTTTGACGGCTTTGGTTACATTTATTAAACAGTTTACAAGCATGAAAACTTGCCAATCAACTGTTGTTATTGTTATAAACAGCCTCCTGGTGCTTCGGAGCTCATTAACTGTTTAATAATTGTAAACAAAGCCGCCAAAGATTGAGAAAAGATGTACAGGTTCGTAAGTGCTTGGGTACCTGCTTCGTGAATCTGACCCCTGGAGTCTGTAAAATGCACTCAACAATTGCAGGAACCATCTCCGATGCATATTACTGCTGACACTTCATAAGAAAGGAATATTAAGCCCAAGATTTAACTCAACAGGACACTTTCTCTCGCAGAAATTGGACAAAGTGCTCACTTAATCTTGTTTATATTTCAACGTGAATTTTGAGTCGTAAAAACTAAGTTTGAAAATACATAAATAACATGTTAATAATATTGTTAATGGTTCTCATAATTAGATATTTACTGGAGTTACAGTACTCGCAAAAATACCGACAACAAATATTGCAGAAAATGTAATAGTTTTCGTGTGTTTTTTAAGACATTAAGTCATTATACCGTAGTTGAGAATTAGACATCAAACCCACATTATTGGGAGTCTATTGTTTATGTCATTGTATACAAGGTACATATTTAATAGATGTGGTTGCAGTTCGAGGCTTATTTCCCCAATGCAACAACACTCTACAACTCATTTGTTGCATATATCTCCCACAGGTGTCTATAGAGTGCCTCACACCCTCCCACAGGTGTCTATAGAGTGCCTCACACCCTCCCACAGGTGTCTATAGAGTGCCTCACACCCTCCCACAGGTGTCTATAGAGTGCTCACACCCTCCCACAGGTGTCTATAGAGTGCCTCACACCCTCCCACAGGTGTCTATAGAGTGCCTCACACCCTCCCACAGGTGTCTATAGAGTGCCTCACACCCTCCCACAGGTGTCTATAGAGTGCCTCACACCCTCCCACAGGTGTCTATAGAGTGCCTCACACCCTCCCACAGGTGTCTATAGAGTGCCTCACACCCTCCCACAGGTGTCTATAGAGTGCCTCACACCCTCCCACAGGTGTCTATAGAGTGCCTCACACCCTCCCACAGGTGTCTATAGAGTGCCTCACACCCTCCCACAGGTGTCTATAGAGTGCCTCACACCCTCCCACAGGTGTCTATAGAGTGCCTCACACCCTCCCACAGGTGTCTATAGAGTGCCTCACACCCTCCCACAGGTGTCTATAGAGTGCCTCACACCCTCCCACAGGTGTCTATAGAGTGCCTCACACCCTCCCACAGGTGTCTATAGAGTGCCTCACACCCTCCCACAGGTGTCTATAGAGTGCCTCACACCCTCCCACAGGTGTCTATAGAGTGCCTCACACCCTCCCACAGGTGTCTATAGAGTGCCTCACACCCTCCCACAGGTGTCTATAGAGTGCCTCACACCCTCCCACAGGTGTCTATAGAGTGCCTCACACCCTCCCACAGGTGTCTATAGAGTGCCTCACACCCTCCCACAGGTGTCTATAGAGTGCCTCACACCCTCCCACAGGTGTCTATAGAGTGCCTCACACCCTCCCACAGGTGTCTATAGAGTGCCTCACACCCTCCCACAGGTGTCTATAGAGTGCCTCACACCCTCCCACAGGTGTCTATAGAGTGCCTCACACCCTCCCACAGGTGTCTATAGAGTGCCTCACACCCTCCCACAGGTGTCTATAGAGTGCCTCACACCCTCCCACAGGTGTCTATAGAGTGCCTCACACCCTCCCACAGGTGTCTATAGAGTGCCTCACACCCTCCCACAGGTGTCTATAGAGTGCCTCACACCCTCCCACAGGTGTCTATAGAGTGCCTCACACCCTCCCACAGGTGTCTATAGAGTGCCTCACACCCTCCCACAGGTGTCTATA